AGAGAGGGACTGCTGTAGATATTGCCTAGTTATTTATACAGAAATATTTTGCAGCATTTAATTTAATTTACAGTATTGGTTTAATCTATTTGAGTTAATACTGGCCATTGCGAATGCAAATTGTTGGGGTTTAGTTTCCCTTTTAAGAAAGAGCATGACTGGAGATAGGAAGCTTAGAACAGCATCACTGAATGGTGGGGGAAGAATTAAAGGTCTAGACAGATGCAGTTTTGCTTAAAAAGCATTTTATTATCTGTTGTGACCAGCTTATGCAGCCTGCAGTCATCCCAGTAATGCAGAATAATGAACATGAGTTGGACTAAATCTGCTCTTAGATTTCTTTACTGTACAGTCAGTACTTTCAGGGAGTAGTTAATTTTCCCATACTTCTCTTTTTATATAAAATAACTGTTATGCAAACTCTTATTATTACTTTTAAAGCTTCATCGTTGAGTTTAAATCACTTTAAACAAAATGATAAAAATAAATTATGGGACTTTTTCTAGTGTAAAGGGTTCATTACAAAGCAGCGCAAACTGTGAATTTGACAGGTTAGTGAAAATATGATGGAGTATGTAGGGAAGGCTCGAGTTTTACAGTTTTAAGCTGCCAGCACATGTGGGAATTGTAAGGAATTCTTTTTTTAATTTGTGGGGTTTGTGTATGGTAACTTTTAATTGTTTGAATACTATTAGAGTAGCAGCAGAACGTTTAGACAGAAAATCCAAATCCCTTCTTCTAGATGGAAATACTGGTAACTGTGATTTTTCCAGATTAAAACCCAGCAGTTCATGGGTTATGTTTTTCATTTTAAGATGTATCCTGTATAAAATATCTGACTAATTAAATTGTGGATTTCATGCAGTGTTTGATGTTCTGTTGATTTTGAAAAGGACCAGGCAAGCTGACTACTTTTTTTTTTTTTTTTTTTTCCCCCAGGATAATAGGGAAGAAAAAGAGTTATAATTGCTAGCACAATATGTAACTGTATAGCTTGTCCCTGATCCTGTGAGGCTTTAGGTTGCCTTAAAGGGCCTCTTAAAGCTTTCCCTCACCTGTAACTCTTCTTAATGCAAGTCTACCTGAATAGGTAATTTTTCATCTGTTTTTTCTCTCACTGCAGTGTAATTTTGTTTTCACTGTCACTTTCCTATCACAGTTATTTTTTAAATTTTTTTAGGAAGACTAAAGTCTTCATTTGTTCTGAAAAGCACAAGATTTGTGGTGCTATGTAGTCGTGTAGAAGAATGAGAAATTTCAGTTGTAATAAATAGAAGATATGTTAATTTAGAGTTGAGTATTTGCTTTCATAAAAATTTAATTTGATACTAGTGTGTGGACATGATCAGTGTAAAATGCACTGCAAATTTTGGGCCAGGGGACTGTCTTCATATGCTTATATGCTTGAAGGCATTTCCTTTGTAGATCCATCATTGGCAGTTATTCTCAGCTATTGTACCCTACAAATCCATCCAGCATCTTTTGAACAGCTTACAGCTACACTGTGACTGTAAAATAAAATAACTTAGAAAGTGCTATATTCTGTTGAAGCTGTGATAATCTTAGTAGGAAGAAACAATAGATACGGTACAAATACATGCTTTATGCCTGATGTAGATTAAAGTCATTTTCAGTTAACAGTTCTGCAATGATGTCTTTGTGGGTTAGATTACAGATAATACTCTTTTGTGTGATTAAGAAAATATTGTACAAAACAATATTATGTAAGCAATTACTCATGTTGGCTGTTCCTTCATGTGGTGCTGTAGTAAATACTGGGTTAGAAAGCTCTAGTCACGTTGGGCTTATATTACTAGCTACCACACTTCAAAAGGGGGGATGGTAAGATTTTTCTAAGGTTATTTATACTCCTGTATGACTAAAATACTTTGAAAAGTTATCCTATAAACATTACAGATTGTAGAATGGGATTTTTCTTTTGACTTTTTCAATGTATAAAGCATCTGCTGCATGGGAGGGAAGAAGCGTAAGCATGTTGGGGTAATACTCTTCCTGCAGGTTTGTATTTGTGAACCACAGTCTTTGTATAAACAACTTGCAGTTACTTTTATCATTTTAACATTGATGGAGACCAGTGATTCTTATTTACATTACCACATCTGTATTGCTCAACACTTAAAATGTAAGATTGAATTCATTTTCTATAATGTTTCATGATAGCAGCTAGAATATTGCTGTGCAGCAACTCTTTTGGAGATTTTAGAAAATACATCTTTGACTTTTCCCTCTCGGCGTTAAATCATAGTATTGTAGAATGGTTAAGGTTGGAAAGGACTTTAGGGTCATCTAGTTCCAATCCCCCAGCCACAGCCAGGGACGCATTACGCTAGACCATGTGACCCAAGGCTCTGTCCAACCTGGCCTTAATGATGATAACTAGGGAAAAATTTAATGTAATTCATTAATAAATAATGAGAAACTGCAATATGCACTTCAGAAATTCTTTTCTTAAATGTCTGTTGAGGATAACCACCTTTGCCTTCATCCTTCTGGTGTTTATTTCCACTTCTGCTACTTCAGATGGTAAGCACTTGGGAGGTGTGATTAGACGTCTGAATAATTGATTATTCTTTTTTTTTAATCAAAATAGAAAATTGTTTTGGCTGAAACAGTGTTTTAGGGGTTTTGTCTTGTTTGTTTGTTGGGTTTTGATTTTTATTTTTTTTGTGCTTAGATGCACTGTTTTCAGTTTTTCACTGTAACATGCCAGGGTTCACTTCTCAAGTGCAGATCTGTCTGAGGTGGATCCTGCTGGCTCTGTGCCTTCCATCGTTTTTCAAATGTTCAGATGTTTCATTAGTGCTGTTTGTAACCACATTCTTCTACCCTGAGGACGTAGAGAATTGACTACTAGTCAGATCCTTCTGATCAGCCTTCATAAGAAGTAACTTTTGGAGACTGTTGGCAAGAAGTTAACAAGTAGCTGTGTCAACAGTTCTGCGCTGTACTGCCCTGGAATTACTTAGAGGTAGCATACCACTCTTAGGAAAAGATTCCTTGCTCTGCTGTTTCAGAGAGGTGAATGACAGTTAAGTTGTCGTGGTTAATCTCTTGGTTGTAGCTTTTCATCTAGGTAGTTGACAGAGACCACATTGTAACTTCCTTTCAAAATTGTTTTCCAACTTTCAAAATTTTTTACTACACTTGGGGTTTGCTGGAGTTTTATTCATTTGTTTGTTGTGTTGTTTGGTTTTTAATTCCCCAAAAACCTCTGCCAGGAGATGAAATAGTTTTTGATGTTGAGTTGTGTTGTTTTGCTTTTATTTTTTTAATTACTTCAGTAGGACACAAACCATTTTAAGAGGTAGGAAACCAAATTTGGAAGGGCCAGTGTCTTGTATTGGTTTTTACAGTTACGATGGTATGTGATGAAAGTTTAATTTACTGGAGCCCAGTCACCCATAATGCAGGCCACATCAGCTGGTTTCTGGAGTTGCTAGCAGAAATTTGTCAGCAACCATTTAGAGCTTGATTAAAACTTTTGGATTGATTGAATATGAGGTTTTCAACATTTGTTTTCTGGCTCAGGTGCCCAGTTGGGAAGGAGAGGCCACACTGTCAGGAAACAAGCTTTTCCTGTCTTTTCAAGAATCCGCAAGATTCTTGTTGATATTGAAAGGATAGGAAAAGGGGTTGCTTATACAGATACTCAAAGAAGGGGATTACCTTAACATAGCCACAGTTCTTCAGTAAGTACATCTGTAGATCATACAGGGCCAGAAGGCAAGGACAGGTAGCCTGGGAGGAATACAGAGAAATTGTCTGAGCAGCCAGGAATCAGGTTAGGAAAGCTGAAAGGAAGGCTAGAGAAAATGTGGGCCTTCTCTGGAAGGAAATGGGAGACCTGGTGACCTGGGACATGGAGAAGGCCAAGGTGCTCAATGACTTTTTGCCCCAGTCTTCACTGGTGAGTGCTGCAGCCACAGTGCCCAAGTTGCGGAAGGCAAAGGCAGGGTCTGGGAGAAAGAACCACCTTCTGTAGGAGACTGTCTGAGGAATTTGAAGGACATGATGAGTTGCATCCACGGCTCCTGAGGGAACCAGCAGATGAAGTGGCTAAGCCACTCTCCATCGTATTTGAGATGATGTGGCAGTCTGGTGAAGTTCTCATTGACTGGAAGAGAGGAAACATAACCCCCATTTTTAAAGAGGGAAAAAAGGAAGCCATGGAAGTACAGGCCAGTCAGACTCATCTCAGTGCACAGCGCGATCATGGAGCAGATCCTGCTGGAAACTGCTAAGGCACATGGAAAAGGAGGAGGTGACTGGTGACAGCCAACATGGCTTCACTAAGGGCAATTGTGCCTGACAAATTTGGTAGGTATAAGAATCTAGGTTGCCTGTCAAAGTGTAACACTTTTCTCTCTCTCCTTTTTTCTTGCAGCTGAAATAGTTTGAATTTTTCAGCATAAAATCTACTGGAAAAAATATCACGTGGCTTTAGCTATAAGGCTACATATTTGACATTAGAAGTGTTTAATGTGTTTCTAAAAGGAGAAAGATAAACTATTGTAGAAGGTATTGGATATTTGTTACAGTATTGCTTTGGCTTGGCAAAACATCTATGCTTATGTTTAGCTCCTAAGTTGGTGCTCACTGCTTTTTTCACTGAAGAATGTATTGGAATGTTTTGTTTGAGCAGATCCTGCTCCTGTAACAGGTGGGTGGGTTTTTTAAAAAAAAAAAAAAAACAAAAAAAAACCACTCTCATACCTGTGACATTATTTATAAATTATCTTCATGGTTTTCTGGAGTTTCAACTTAACTTTCAATTGTTAACAAACAAAAACCCCCCTGCATATCATGATACGAAAGGAATGCAAGGGGGTGGAGGTGGAAGAGAGGAAAAGAATGGAAATGCCAGATGTTTGTTCTACTGCAACCTCTTGTTCTGTCCTATCTTCTGCCTGTCTGAAATAATACTACATATTTGCATGGTCCTTAAATTTTCGTGCTTGCTGATTTTGTTATTAAAACAGGCAACTACAGAAAGACCTTTTATACAGAAGCTATTTCGACCAATTGCTTCAGGAGGACAGATGCATACTTTGGGAGATCTGCTAAAAGATGTGTGTCCTAGTGCTATCGACCATGAAGGTACTGTAGAAATAACTTTTGTCCAGTAATATACTTTTTTCTGTTGATTTATTGTTTGCTTGGTTGGGTTTTTTTTTTAATATGGGGATTTTGGAGGTAGAACTATGTCTTAGTACCAGAGTTTCAGATTTCACTCCTTCATGGCCCTATAGTGTGCCATATGTCACAGCACCTGCAGTGTGTGGAGATGATAAGGCTGAGTCCTTAGGCACTCTTGAAAAATAAATTTCTGTAAGTTTTATTTTAAAATTTGTGTTTGCCTTCACACTGTTCTTAATAAAAACCTTGACATGTTATTTTCTGCATTTAAAGCAAGTATTCTTAAAGCAATGTCAACAGAAGTTTTAAGTTACCTTTAGGTTTATATTACATAATTTTTTCATATGTAAACCACCAAAACTGGTAGAAATTGAAGATGTTTCCAGAATACTTTTTTCTTGTTGAAGCCTAACCTTTAAAAATGCACCAGAAAAGGAAGATATTGTTGTAAGCATGTAATAGTTTATGTATAGTTACTAAGTAATATTGTGTGACAAGATTCCGATTACTTCATGTAGCATTATATCATTTCATACAATAGCATTTGTTAGTCGGTGCTTATTCAGAAAAATAATATCTGGATGTTATTTAAGCCTCAAAGATTCCAACTATTGGAACTCTGATACACTTTTTAAGTGGGATAAATGTAAAAGTTATGTACTCTGCAAATTAAGATAAAAATTAATGTGAAACATTTTTCTTCTTGTTCTTGCTGTTGTTTTGCCAGTACCTGTAAATGGGTAACTGTTTTTCTGTAAATACATCGCAATATGTTTTGAGAAATACCTGATATTCTAGAGAAGATCTTGGCACAGAATTTACTGCTGTAGTATAAGTACCTCTGGACAGTAAAGCACTAAATTTGAAATCAGTGTAAAAATCTATAAGATTATGTACACAGAACTTGTGTAATTCAAAATCAAACAATTGTCACGGATTTCTTTAAGTATAGTGATTGTAGAAATCTACTGAAATCTGAACAGATTTTTTTACCTCTATTTAATACTTGTTAACACATAGAAACAATTTCAAAAAATAACAAAAGGTAAGAAAAATATGGAATGTTGCTAGCCATGTGTCTGTTTTTCCTAAAGCTGTTATAAATTTTAGAGCATAATTTTAAGTAATGTTTTCAGCTAACTGTCCAAAAGATAAAGCAAGATACAGATACTTGAATGATAGCACAAGCAGGTTTAACCATCTTGAAGTACTTTAGTGTGAGGATCCTCCTACAGACACTAGTGAAAAGGTACAAAGTGAATTTTAGAAAAAAAAGAGTAAGAAGGATGCTGTATTTTAACTTGGAAGGCAGTCAAGAGCACAAATTAAATGAAAGAAACTCAAAAAGTATTTATGCAAAAGTTATTCCAGGATATAATGAATGATCAGTTTTACATGGATTTGCTAGAGCTGCAGATGGGGAATGTTACTGCTAGAAACCCTATACTGTTTACTCAATGAGGGCAAAAAATGGTTGTTACTTGGAGGAAAAGAAACTAAAATAGGACTATCCTTACACTTAGGAGGAGCAGTTTCAAATTTGGTGGAAGGGTTTCATTGTATTGGAATATGGTTGTCTGTTCCTCTCTAAATGTGCTTAAATTTGGCCTAGTTTTCATCCTTTAAATTCTACTGAGCAACTTGCAAACTTAAAGTTTAATAAATTTGATCCCTCACATAAGTGTGGGCTATCTACAATTCAGCAGACTTTCTTCTGTAATGCATCTTTTTATTGTTTTGTTGTTCAGTTGCTTCTTTTACATTCTGAGTGTTCACCTCCTCTTCTGGTAGGTAACAGAAGGAAACATGACTGAGCTAAACACAGAAAATAACGTGAAGTCTTGAGGAGATATGAGGGTAGACTGATACATAGAGCCAGTGGAGGCAGGCTGACTGAACAAGTAATTTGGAAGAAAATGATCTGGGAGTCGTTAAATGTGGTGGGGAGAGCAGCTATGAACAATGTGGCAGGATGAAAGAGATTGGGGCAAAAGCCAAAACCTGACATAGTAACTATGAACACCTGGACGGAGTAAGTGGGATAGATGATAAAAGAATGAGAGAGGAAAAGAAGCATATTGCATGTGGATCATACACTGGCAAAGTGATTTGGATGGTCTGTAGACCTGTTGGGAGAAAAGAATTGAATTAAAAGTTGAAAAGAAGGGCAGTTTGTACTGGCAGAATGAGAAGGTGCAGGTGGATAGGTGGTCAGCTGGATCTGGAGACAGTCAGAAAAGGGACTGGGGAAAACTCATTCAGGATTTGCTGTAGAAGTAGGCTGCACCCCAGACAGGAATGCAAAGTAGAAAATTAAGCATGGTAACATGGAAAGAAAAAAAGACCTAGGAGATAGATCGGCAAGAAGCAGAACTAGGGCAAAAAGGAAGGATGATAGAGAAAGGATCAGGCTTCTGGAAAATAATCTGAAAAAGTGGTTGTCCATGGCAGAAGTGGTTTTTACTGCTGAGGAACATGCATAGGTAAGGATAGGGCTCTTAAGAGGTGTGAAGGGCAGCAGTGTTTTAGGCTTGACTGCTTCAGTTCGTCATACTCTGTTCATTGATGGTTAAGCTTAGCCAATAAGTGAACTTTGATTATTCTCTTGCTGGCTTAATCCACTCATTCACTATTCAAATGCAATGTGCACCATCTTAAGTGTTCACACTCTTAATACAGCTTTGAGCTATTAAAGAAAAAAAGCCCTACTAACTCAGCAGAATGCATAATGCCACTTCTGAATTTTGCCTGTAGAAATGTTAGCAGCCATAATGAGGGCATACTTCTCCCTTTTCCAGCAAGTGGACTAGACTCCTGAGACCTCAGCACATTTGTGCTGCTGAAGTCCTTGTGAAACCCACTCTGTCAACTCATTTTCTTTCTGCTGGGGTTCAGTGAGAATTTAACAAACTTCCTCTGTCAATAGATGCTCCATCAGCTCAAAAAGAGGAGGAGACTGTAGAGCTGAGTGTTTCCACCCATTTTATGGGCACATGAGAATTTAATTTGCAAGCATTTTTTTGAAACCTGGGAAAATATGCATAAATGTTTTTCTTCTGAAGTAGTTGTATCCATTTGAAGTTGAATTACTTGAAATTTAGGATGTGTCAGAGTTGTAGACCACCTGTAGAATCTTAGCTTCTGTACACATACATGCACACTGATCATTATACATACAGCTTATAATCACTTTCCACCTCTCATGTCCTTTCATCTTCTGTGAGACTTCTGTTTTCCTGCACAGGCGGGACATGTTTTGGTGTCAGGGCTGTGTAGTGAAAAAAATCGTTGTCCTGATTATCGAAATGATGGATGGGAAATTAATGTACTTCAGGAAGTATTGCAATCTAGGCAGCTGAACACTGCCTTTGGGAATTGAATTCACTTCTTTCCCCATAGGGTAACTCCCATAGGGAGTTCATTTGTATGTGATAGTAGGCAAACTGCGTGTTGCAAAACCATCCATTTCATTGAAGAGCACCAGAAAAATCCAATGATCAGTGTAACCATTCTACTGAACAGCTTGCTTTCTTGTACTTGGAATCAGCAAGAGCCCCGGGGCTTTGAGTGTGTGAACACCAAGCACTCTCTGAAGTCAAGTTCTAGGCTTCTCATTACTCCTCTCCAACCCTCCAAAAATGGTATTTCTGACCATGATGTCTTTTTGACTTCAGTATGTGATCTATAAAATGATAATACAGTCTCCTTCCATGGGATAATCTTGATGAAACAGTTTCTGATGGAAGAATAGCTTTTGGTCAAGACTGTTTGAATTTCATATTAAGAATTGCCTTCTTTGGACCTTCTTTTTCTATCTTCTAATTTTTGTTTTTGTAAGATTATATGTTTTGATCTACAATTTATATTTATTCTGGTCAAGGCATTAAAATAATCATGTAACAAAATTGTCAAAGGTATATTAGAAAAAGATGGCAAGTTGTTTTCCACATCTGGATTTTCAGATTTTATTCATTGTTACCAAAGTTTAGATCTACCTAATTTTTCTGCACAAAGGAAAAAAAAAATAGTATCCCATCAAAGATATGTTTAAGGACATAGTAGGTATTATTGAAGCAAGTTGTTCTCAACCTTTTTCACTCTTGTTTTCAAAAAGTAGTTTAGATATTTTTTCCGAGAGCATTTTTTAACCCCCGTCTTTATGGAATTAATGCATTGGTGACATTAACTGCATCTTTTTATCAGGGCAACACAATCAATGTTTCTCTTTCATTCTGTTTTTCTCCATCTGTTGAATTTATTTGTTTTTTTCCTTTTTTCCTCTATGGGTTTCTCTTTTCTAAGGACTTTTCATTCAACTGGAAGCTTCATGGTGATTGTGGTGATTGCTTCTCTATGGTGACATCCGTAACTGAGCTTTGTGCCGTGGGAACACAGAGAATATATGATTTTCAGACTCAGCATTTGTAGCCATATATGTGAGCTGTTCCTTCTGCCAGATACTTAGGGACCACCACAAGAAGAGAGAGAGAAGGGTTTCAAGAACCACCCACAGTGTCTATATGCCTTTGCTTTAAGAAACATGGATATAATTAAGTCTCTCTTTTAACTGTGCTGAGAAAAAGTATTTAAATGAAAAAAATTATTTATATATGTGGATTGAATATATACTTTGATTACCAACTGTTAAAAACATGATGGAAAGAATGTCAGGAGTAGAACAGGTTGAATAGTGGCATTAAAACACTGATAGTGAAAATGGTCTTTGTTAAGTATTGTGTCAATATTATTTTGGACTGCTATAGACTGTGGATAGCTTTAGATACTGTGCTTTACTTAAATTAGCTTATGAAACTATTTAAGGGTTTTATTGTTCGTTGAAGTACTCTAAAAAATAAACTTGAGCAGTTATTATCCCAATGCCTATGTCCCTGTCTTTCCTCAAACTAGTCCTTTGTTCAAATGTGTCTATATTATTCTCCTTAATGAATGCTGTACAGTGT